ATTTCAAACAAAAACTCTACACAGAATCAGGGTCTTCTTCATGTGTAATTGTTTTATCGTAAATAAAACCATATAACCTGTTTTTATGGGCCTTAAAGGTAATACAAAGTTTTGGTATGGGGTTATGAATTAGGCTTTATGAATGAACAACCTGGAAGCATATGCGATCCTACCATATTCAATGATCATTGTCGCAGTTAAAATTGAGTCTAAAGTAATGGAATTGCGAATAATTAAATCTTTATGCTGTATAGCTTCCTCTCAAGATTGATACTACTTTAGCTTCAAAACAGTGTTTCTTAACTAAACTTGACCGATTTTCTATTCCTTGTTTGGAAATTATATATCAGAACTGCACATTCCAAGATTTTCATGGTCGCAGCCACCTTTGTATGGGCCGTAGGAGCTATATGAAATTTACCGGGAGCACCGATGAATTTGTTATTTTAATTTCTCGAAATCCTTAGCTTTTTAAAGCCCATTTTTTTCAAGGTTGCTTATTCTAACACAAGGTTTCACAATGGTAATGCAAATTTAAAATATAGTAATCCAATCTTGTTGAAATATTACCATAACTTTGTATTTCCTATACAGTGAGTGCGCAATGATGATTGGCAGGCTGCCATCTAAGCTCAATCTAAACTAACATGTGTGTGAACTGACCTCTTTAAAGCTAATCTCATCGCAAGAAGTCTCTTGTTCACACAATTCTTTTTTTCACGTGCATAATTATACAGGTTGTATGAATGTCCCTTTCACAATACACTGATTCTTTATACAGTATTTTTCAATAAGAGTTTTGTACAAATTTCTTCTGGTGTAAACGACTACGAGTCTCTGTCCAAATGAAAAAAATTCTACAACTATAGATATTGAACATGGTTGTGCTGCTGATGATGATGAAGGTGGGGAATGGGTGTAGATGCTTTCTTTAGATCTACATAGTCACCTGTCTAAAATTGATTGCAAGAATTTTGTTTGAGAGCCAAGTCATTTACTTTCTTTGTTCAAAACTTCAATAAATTCCAAGGGATTAACATCAAAGGGTTGGATAATTAGCCTCACTTATGTTTCATGGTACACTGCTTTGACGTCATTTGAAGGTAATTTAGGATTCTCGTAATAATTAAATGAGAACAAGGGGCACCGTTAGAAAAAATTCCTACAAAAGCTCCTCAAAAAAAAAAATCTAGTGACGCCATTCATTTCTTTCTTTTATTAAAATAACAATCGTGGCATTCTTTATACAGACACATGTATGTCCCAGTGTGAAGGTTCTGGTGTAGCGATCAAGCTTATCCCACACCCATGTGCACCCGGGCGGAGAGAGGCAAATGTGGGTTAATGTTTTGCCAAAGGTTTTAATAGTCAAAACATTAATTGGATGTCTGTTCTATTCCCCTTCATACTTCAGGGGAAAATGATGACATGTACATGTATAAAAGGTGCGATGCCAAATTTAAAGACACATAGTTATGGGTTTTTGAGGGTGAAGTTGACACCATTCTGGTGTTTACCCAATAACAGGTGTTGGCAGTCACCAAGAGTGGACTTCACTTTTACGACAGACAGGTCTTGTGTAATGCACCATGCCCTAGCCTACAACCTCATGGAATTATCATCATATATATATATATCATATTTCCCTCACCCCCAAGACATAGGCAAGTTAGGGTATTTCTGGTGGGACCACGGGTTCGCTGCTTCAAAGACGTTTGCACAGCAGACACATTAATTGGTAATTCAACCAAATCTAATGTCAGCAAATTATAATGGAATACAAATGGACACTGACTACTTTATGGCTTTATCATAGACTTTTATAGATTGTTTGGTATAGTGCAAACATTTCAGATAGATGGCTAGTACACAGGTACATGTGCAAGTGCACAAAAAGTGATGAGAAAGAAATTCTATTTAAAAAAGTGAGTCCATCTCTTTATGTCCAAAAAGCATCAAACCATGTGATATACATTTAGTTACCTCCATGAAGAGTTTTGATTCATAATTTGATCTGAAATAAACAACATATCTGTAAATGTAATCAAAAGATAAAAAGTATCAGTCTGTAAAAGGCATTGCAACTCGATAATGCATATACTGTACTTATGTTAATGGCGCAATGCAACTACAGTGTTTTACAAACTTACCACGGTCCATTATACTGGTTTCCATGTGAGTCATCTTCATATCAATCACTCTGACACAATGTAGCACGGTCGCAACTCACATGGGAATCTTTCACCGAGCTGCAAACAGGAAGATTAAAGCCACGTTTTCACTATCAATGCTGAGGAAGCTAGACCAACAGGCTACTGGATACTAACTGGATAAAGTGCTGTGTAACATTGACGCAACATGAAGCTTGCGGCGGCCATATTGGGACTCTCAAACATAATGCTTTCTAAATACATATGTATGTATATACAGAGTTAATGAATCCGTGTGACCCCTTGTGTTTCAATGGATTCTGATGCTTCCCAACATGGCACCCATTTGGCTTCATGCAGCACGATGTGACAGCACATCCAGTGAGTATACAGATCAGTGGTGGGGATAGCCATGCACCAAAAAAAACTGCTGATGCTTCCCAAAATGGCTTCATGCGGTAAAACATGACGGCACATCCAGCGTTCATACACAGAGATCAGTGGTCGGGAATTGCAGAGCGAGCAAACTCAAGACATACAGACGGCAGGCAAGACTTGACAGAGGGCAGCGTCCCAGGTTCATCTAGAGGTCGCGGAGTAACGCTGAAGGAGCTCCGTGTTGCAGTGGTCACAGACACGCACCGGCTTGGCAGACGAAGGGAGGGGCATGAGGTTGTCTGAGCAAGGGCCGCAGTAGATACCACCACAGTTCCTGCAATGGTGCTGTAATAAAAAACCAATTTAAGATTCCATTTGTGACCAATTCATGAATACAGCAAAACACATGAATAGTATGAATTTTATTAAGAATTCTCTACATGGCAAAGATCGTAACTTCTCTTCCTCTCTAACGAGATTTTAACAAAATTTAATATAGAAAAAAGGTTCCGTTTTCTTATCTATCTCCTTCTTCCTCCTCCTCCTTCTTTCTTTCATCCTTTTTTTCTTTTCTTCTTACTTTCTTCTTTTCCTGTCTTTCTTCCTTTCTATCTTTTTTCCCCTCTTCTTCTTCTTCTTCCTCTTCTTCTCCTCCTTCTTCTTCTCTCTTCTTCCTCCTTCTGGAGAATTAACATACTGGAGAAATTGCTTTCCCTTTAGTTGCTGCAATGTTGTGGAACACCATTCTGAAAACTGCCATAAATGTGGACCGATTCAAGAAACTTATGGAGGTCCACTTATTAGTTTAAAGAGCATGATTTGTTATATATGATTAATGTTGCTCAACTGGTCTTTTTAAAAGTGTTTTTATCATTGTTTCAGCCATCCTTACTCTATGTTTTCGAGCAAATTGTGTAATTAAAAGAGAACTACAACTTTTCCTTCAAAATGAAAAGTTGATAGTAAAGCGTTTGAAGTCCTTTCCTTAGAGCCTAAAGAGAACTAAATCATAGCACTGAGCCTAGGAGGTCACACCCCTCCATCTCTCATCAGTTGAAGAAGAAGGTCTGTAATTGTTTATCATTATATTTTGTTTGTTATAGCACAAGAGACTTTGGTGGTAAGCGCTAAGTTGTAAGCACTGTTTTTATTATTATTATTATTATTATTATTATTATTAAAGGGATGCGGTAACTTTGTCTCATATTCTGAAACAAAATCCTGGATTAAGCTCATGCTACAATGATGATTATAAACCTTTAGGTCAGTCAGGAACCCCATGACTTTTACAAGCCGATCGGCTGTCTGAATTATCAAGATATTTATGATTGAAATCTACACCAAATTTTGCTATTTCCTAACGGTTTTCATAACACTGTAGTCTATTGGGGGAAACGAGTATGGTAAAACCGGTCACTCAAAGATTTTTACTTTGTCAGGCACTTCTTGATCATTTTAAATCACAATTTTTTTCAGGGCTCTAATATTACACCATATCACAAATACTGATAAGAAGTAGGGCCGTGCATCTCAGATTTAACATTGTTAAACGATGCCTTTAAGCAACAAAGTAGATGAAAGACCAACCTTCCTCCTGGCCACTGAGAAGGGTTTATCACAGGTCAGACAGTTCTTGGCATCTCTATCATCGGCCCAGACCCTTCCTTCGGCTGACTGTACTAACTCCTTCATAGAATCCATCTTGAGCTGTGAGCTATGGAGAGAGAGGGAGAGGGAGAGAGGGAGAGAGGGAGAGAAAGAGGGAGAGAAAGAGGGAGAGTGAGAGAGAGAGAAAGAGAGAGAGATTGATTAAGTATACTATTACAGGATACAGAGTTCCTCACATCATATACCACAGAGACCTTTACCGGTACACCTTTCAGAAGGACCTGGTGGAAATACCGTTAATGGGTGCACAAGTCTTGCACACAGCAAACCCATACCAGTAGTCACATCAAGAAATACCCCCCTAGTCTTAGGATAAGGGAAATGTAAGATAATGAATTTACCAAATCGGGGGATGGATGGAAAATGCAGAGCATTACATAAGGCCTGAAAATAGAAGGCTAATCTTATTATTGGGTAAACACCTGTTATTAGGAAAACACCAGAATGGTGTTGAATTCCCCATGAGAGCCCACTCCATGCGTCTTTAAATGCATTTACGAGAGAGACTGTAATTGCTATTGACATTACAGACATTTTCTTACTCGCTCAGTTTCGACCCCATTTCAGTCAGCGCTAGCTCCTGCTCATGACACGTCTTGCCGAGCTCCTCGTGTTTCCCCAGCAGCGTTGCAAGCTGCTCCCTGAGGGATCTCACATCGGCCACCTCCGCCTGGAGCTGGGAGATGAGCTCCTTCTCCTGTGCTATCTCCTTCTGAAGGGTGGCCCTCCACTCTCCTTCCACCTTCAGATCTGCCGCCATGTTGGAACTGCGAATGACAATGACATTGACAAGAATCAATATCAATATCATTTCAAGACTACACCAACAGTCCTTTTCAGGACTACACACACTCAAGAAAGATTACCGCGAGTCCTTTTCAGGACTCCTCAATCTTCCCTCTCTCACATGGTGCAACCGCAAGCCTACTGCATATCTAAATCCCCATGCAAGCTGATACTTATAAGCACCATCTAATATCTTACTTGTATTTCTTTTCACTTGTTAATATGATCCTTCGCTCTTGTCACTAGTTATCCACTTTCAGAACTCAATTTAAGACATACCTAAATCAGATTGCTTACAATTAGTCACTGCTTTTTTGTCTTTCCCAGTTAGAATCATGAACAGACATTTTTGGTAGTTTTTCAGTCTCATCAGTGCCTTTGATTAGGCATCTAGATATTGCCGCTTTATAAATTCCTGGATTGGTTTGGATATGATCATAGAAATCTTAATAATTTTGGCATTTGCCATTTCCACTACTACCCTCACTGAAAAGTTGTAAGTTGATTAGGCAACTAGATATTGGCGTTTTATAAATTCCTGGATTGGATTGGATATGATCATAGAAATCTTAATAATTTTGGCATTAAAAAGCCTTGGCATGGGTGGGGGCCATTTCCACAACTACCCTCACTGAAAAGAAGTTGTAAAATTACACTACAATAGCACAAGGCAGTTTCATACAAAACAGCAACATTTCATGCAAAATGTAATACATACATATATAAATATATATGAAAAATATATTTGCAATTTAGAAGAAAATGTCATGACAGTATTATTATTCCTCAAAGATATCGTTATCACATTATTAATACTGTGGTTCTTGTGCATCACATGCATACCCAGAATCAAAAAGTAATACCAATGTGATAAGCATGTTGGCAGTGTAAGTCACTATCTTGACTTATAGCCAACTTCTCCTTCATTTACCATCAAAGGGTAGGTCAATGTTTTAAAAGCAAAATCCAAAGTTTTTCATTTTTCTTCAAGTATTTGGAAACAGCATGATATGATGTGCCCTGCCACTGGGCACATCATAGATTCCAAGGAAAAGAAAAAGAAAGAAAGAAAGAAAGAAAGAAAGAAAGAAAGAAGGAGAATAAGAAGGAGGATAGGAAGAAAAAAAAGAAGAGGAAGAAGAAGAAAAAGAAGAGGAAGAAGAAGAAAAAGAAGAGGAAGAAGAAGAAAAAGAAGAGGAAGAAAAAGAAGGAGAAAATGAAGGGGAAGAAAAAGTAGAAGAAAATAAGGAGGAAGCAAAAGAAGAAGAAAATGAAGATGAAATGCAGTCAGCTTTAAATCACAATCTTTCCTTCTTCTTAATATAACATCATACTATACAGATCTTTAGTTTTGAAGACAAAAGTACAAATCGGATAAAGGCTTTGACACAAACGTACAAAATATGAAAATGAAATCATTATGAATTAAAAGAATACTGAAGCACGTGCAAGAAAGGGTTTTGCCAGGGCAATATGAAAAGGAAAAGAACAAGGAGACAAATGATATGGTTGAAAATCAGGTTCATACCACTTAATGTCCCTCTCCGCAATCTGCATCCCAAGCTTTCTGGCCGTTTCCGCGCAAGCTTGTTTTTCTCGCTCCACGCTTCGTAGTCTACAAGAACACAAGCACAAGGGGGCGACAGGGGTTCACAATAACGATCGTCATGCCAACCAGGGGAGTGAGTAGCACATCGGGGATGACAAATTTTCAGCGTAAATGATAAAAAAAGAAAGAAATAGGGAATAGTGAATATATAAAGTAAAAAAAAAAATACTATGGAGTAGACACAAAACAAACTTTACAGTCACTTGGAAATTAAATTGAAAAGTGACAATTTTTTAAGCCTCTCTAAGGTGTTGGGAGCCCCCCCCCCAAATGTATTGCAAAATTTCACTTAAATGTTATCATAATGTGAAAGAGGATGTCATTTAAGACACATTTCTGCGAGGATTTTCAAAACAAATGTGTTTGAAGTTGAATATTGTTGAAAGAATACAAAATTTTGGTTTTCTGCGTACAACAGAAAACCAGAATTATATATTTTCAACATTTTCAACATTTGTCTTCAAACACATTGTATGGGGGAAATCTTTGCAGAAGTGTGTCTTAAATGACATCCTCATTCACATTATGATACAAGTTAAGTGAAAATTTGCAATCAAATTTGGGGCAAATTTGGGGCTCCCAACACTTTAAGAGGGGCTTTAAACATGAGCTTTTCACAATATTTTGGGTGTTGTTGCTCTGACATGTTTTAGGGTGTGGACCATGATCTTTTCATGAAAGGCAAAAGATGCAAACAATATTCAAATCATGTATTTTCATGCACAAAGAAACTAAGTTAACATGATATTTGATTGTTTCCCCCAACCCCCCCCCCACCCCACCCCCCCCTCCCTAAAATGAATAAATAATTATACATCTTGCAAGCTATCAATCACATTAACCTTTCAATCCTATACATGTATGTGCAAGGGGATACATTTGTAGAACCAGTCTGACAAAGAGTTGCGATTGGTCCAAATCAATTGCAAGTCCTCCAATCGCAACTTTGCAGTGTCCTATCTCTTATGTACATAGTTGTAATTGAAGTTACAATTGATATCAACTCTTTGTAAGACGGGGCCCAGATAATAATGAAAGTTGGTGCAATGACTAACCTTTCTTCTAGCTGTTTAATGGTGTCGACCATCTGATTGGTCTTTTCTTCCAGTTTGCCCACAAGTACAGACTTGTGTTTCATTGTCTCTTCAGTCCCCTGATGGAAAGAAGGGATGATACACCAGTCTCGATATAAAAGCCTTTGAATATGGTGTTTCTACTTGATTTTGACTTAAAGGTAAATTTGATACTTCAATGAAAATCAGGCTCTGGATTTAACATGAATGTAATATCATCTCATCACATACAGAGTTCTCTTTGAGTCAAACCAAGAGATTAAAAATGATTTAAGGTTACAAACACTGCAGCTTCTTAAAGAGTGGAGAGAAGAAAGATATGTGAATTATACTAAATGGTGATAACGACATATAGTGATTATGATGAGGTGTTGTACACTGTCATCAGATGATGATCATAATGAACAAGGGAGGAGATAAAATTGGTAATGTTGTTCATGGTGATGAACATTATTGTCATATTAGTGATGAAAGCAGCCAAAAATTACAGCAGTTACAACTGTCATGATATTGTGTGATTATGGTGGTAACTATGATGGTGATGATGGAGGAGCATATGGTATTAAATGTGGATGATGTTAATACAAGGAGCAGGGCTGGAAGTTTGTAAAAAATTTGTGATGGTGATAAGATGGTGATAATCAATTTATTGTTAGAAACAATGGTCATGATGATAGTTGTAATGGTAATACTATAGGTGGCTTCTAATAGAGCGTCATGTCTGTCATTCTGTGACTCTCCTGGTACTCCAACATTAACATTATAACCCTGATTTCGTGGTCGAGTGGCACTATGTCCTTTGGCAAGACATTAAGTTACATTTGCCACGCTCCACCCAAGTGACCTAAATGAGTACCTGGTAGGATTATTCCTTGAAATGCACTGTGCGTTGATAACGGCTGCCGGTGCTAAAGTTAGGGTAATAATTATGTAATTTATGTAAAGCGCACTGATACATGTATGTCTTAGGACAGGAATAGGCTAAATAAGTTTTACATATCATTATTATTATTATGGTCATACATGTAGCTGGGGTAATAAAATGTAGCACTCTGGCATATTGGGGACCCGTTTACACCTGGGTTGAGGGTGGCAAATGTGGATCAATCTTGCCAAAGGATGTTAGTGCTGGGCTTGGATTTGAACCCTCAACCCTTGGATAGAGTGAATAGTTCAAGTGAATGAACCATTATACCACAAGACCCCCAAGACCCCCACAAAGGCAGTGATAGTACTGGCAGTGGTGATAATTGCCATAATATTTGTGATGAAAGTGGTAATGATGATGAAAAAAATAAAAACAATGATGAAAAAATAGAAACAATAATAATGCTGCTCTCACCTGAATCTTCTTGTACAGGTCAATATTCATGGACTTGATATCTTCCAGCTGTTTCCGTAGCGATATGATGGTGTCCTGTTTCTCATGGATGTCTTTCTCTAGCAGCCGCATCGCCATCTCCATCTCCATCTTAAGGCTGATCTGAAGCTGAAGCTCCTGCTCCACATCCTAAAAGAAAAAACGAAATGAAATAAAAACGATATCAACATTTAGGCAACAAAAATTATGCCAAAGTCATTGGACTGTGGATCACAGGGACTGTGGTTCGAGTCCCGCCACAGCACTAATGTCTTTTGGCAAGATATTAATCTACATTTGCCATTCTCCACCCAGGTGTTTAATGGATTCCGGTAGGAAGGAATTCCTTGAATGTTGTGAGTGCCAAAATCGGCTGCCTAGCAGAGCCGGGATAATAGTTGGAGCCCCTTGAGCACCATGCATGGTGGATATGTGCACTATATAAATATCCAATATTATTATTATTATTATTATTATTATAAAAGGGTAGCATTTGGTTGAAATATGACAACATATGTTCCCTCAAAGGAGGCGCGATGGCTCAGTGGTAGAGCAGTTGTCTCATAACTTTATATTTCAAAACTACACCACAGTGATTACATTTCAAATTGACAGCCATAAGAAATTTAAGCTTACCGGTATATAAAAATACATTAAAGCAAATTTAATTCTTTGTAGCAATCTATAAGTTTTGGATTATCATTGAATGAGTTAATAAATATTCAAAATGACACAGCCAAAATGGAAACCTAGCCAGTACCATGGACTGCACAAAAAAAAGTGAAACATTTCTCCTAACTAGAATATATGTACATGTATTTGATTACAAAAATGTAAAAGCTACAAGTATGAATTCTAAGAAAGACGTGACACAAAAAAGCTAAATTTCTCAATGGACGCCAAATCGATAACTGTTTCAAGGAAACTAATACAGCTTCCTCAGTATGAATTTAATAACATTCCTGCCACAGCAGAATATAGAATATATGAACTTACCAGTCTCATTTGTGTTTCTTGCTGTAACCTCTGTTTGGCTTCACTGTACATCTCATTGAGACCTTGTCTGGATGTATTATATGTTTCTCTTTCTGTCTCGATATCTGCTTTCACCATCTGAAATAACCATTTCATTTGTTATTAAATGTTTTTCTCATTTTCACCCAATGGCTCATGAATTCTCTGATTCGCAGAGGATTTATAGCTGGTTCCTGGGTCGAGATCTTGAAGTAAGCCTATTAAAATTGTTATTAAAGATAAGCTTGAGTTTTGGTAACGATTGAAAATAAATTTTCACAGAATTCAACAAAACTTACACTGAATGTTTAAGATTACAAATAAATGACATATGTACCAGACAATTTTGGTAGAAAATGTAAAGGGGCTGAGAAATTTTTGCATTAAAGATTAGGAAATCAAGGCTAGTAGGCCCGACACCATGTGCTTAACACAGGTTACTATGTGCACATGAGAGTTGTAGTTTATATTGAAGATGACTTCCAGCAAGTTTTTGTGAGGTTGTTTTCATTTTACTGGTTCAAAATCAATCTACTGCAGGATAAACAATCCAGAATGAATTATAGCCATGTTCTCTCAATATACCATTCCCATACAAGAGCTCAAGATTAGCTTTAAGTATTTGTCATCATTTGTGCCTGGAAGGCAAAAAGCGAACTGAATCACAGTAACCCTTGGGTCTCTCCTTTTGATTTAACTGATTGGGGTGTGTACTATTTTGTTATGAATAGCGCAGTGGGCTCTTAATGTGTAACTGTGGTGACTCTCCTATACATAGGGCCTCCATTAAATGTCCTATCTGAGGGACAACGTGTCTTCCACTCTAACAAAACCTGCATCTATGAAACAGGAGAGGGGCAAATTACCAGTCATCCGACTGGGTGGGATTCGAACCTATACTTTTTGGTTCGACTAGAGATAACTTACCTCTAGTTTTCTGTCTGTATGTTGTTTCAAGGTATTGTTCTCTGCCCTCAGTAAATCATTCTCTGCCTGGATACTTAGGATGTTATTGTTGGCCATTGCATGCTGATCAAAAACAAGATGGAAATTAAAACAATCAGTGATTCATGTGAATAAAAATAGCAATAGCATACCACTCATCAGTAATATTCTGTACTAAATTCATGATGCAAACAAAACCTGATTCAGTACACATAATGCATCAAACCCCCTTTAACGCTGGTCTATAACCAATATTGTGCCACTAGGATAAAGGGTACCATGAATGAAGCGAATAGGGACAAAACTTTGAAGATTCTTTCGGCAAATTCCAATATTTTTTCCTCAGCAATGGTTGGGAGCCCTCTTCAAATTTAACTGATCAAGATTAAAGATTTTTTTAAAGGGCCTGCTTGCCAACTCAATATCCCTATAATTATTCTGTATAATCCTATCCTTCAATCCCAACAGCCCCCTCCCCTGCGAAAGGGGAGGGGGGGAAATATTTTAATCATACTTGATTTTTTTTTTCTCCATTAAATGTAAGTTTTCTACCTAATTCTTGAATATCTTGATCCAAACTACATAATTTACAAAACCATTTATATATTTCAAAAGGGGAAGAAAAACAAAATCAGAATAAAATAAGTCTTAATACATAATATGATAGATTCAATATTGGGGGGTATATGTATGAACTGCCTGGGGAACTGGAATGATCGAGGTTAAAGATCCTGTCGAAAGTGAAAATGAAATGGATGAATCATATATCAACGGAAAGCTTATAAGCCATAGCTTACAATAACATCAATTACCGGTAAATGCAATTTAGTATCTGTCAGAGAAACAGTACCTCTCTGAAAACTTGAAATCTAAAGCTTTGAAAATCGAAAGTTGTCAACCCCCAAAACTATTGACTTAATGACATCATCTTATGTCAAGAACGCATATTCACAATGAATTTGCATTAGTTAAGCAAGGCTCATCGTCTGAGCTATAATTATGTCGTCACCTTAGCTGCCGTTGACCCGTAATTTGAAGGTGTGCGGAAAATGAGATTTTAATTTGCTTTTGTGTAATACTGAAAGCAAAAGTACTTGTTATTCCTTTAAATTTGTATTCTATGTTCATTCAGCTTTCCATAGATATAAACTTGTAATCCCTCCGGATAGGGTCTTTAAAGGAGGTGTTGCATGGCTAATACTGGTTAACGCCAACTACGACTTCTTTTGGATAACTGCACGTAAACAAATGGACTTGATTAACTGGTTCTGCGCGCTAGCATTCGCGAAACAGACCGAAGTTTTCCTCACGCTTCGGCTTTGCGTATGTTGCACGCACGTAAATACTGCGGTCGCGTCGTTCATAGTCGTATTATACCCGATTGGCCCCGAGTCAGGCCACGGGAAAGTCTCGTCATGCCACACCTCCTTTAATCCTTACCTCTCCTTTCATGCTAGCATTAGCTTCCTCTAAGGCCTTGATGCGGGTGTGGAGACCAGTGATCTGTGAAGTCAGGTGACGGTTATGTTCCTCAAGGTAGTTCTTCTGATCCAGTAATGCCGCTAGGTTGACTTCGGGGGACACCCTATAACATCCCACGAGCGAAACAAAAAAAGTTGAAATAGAATGATTTAGGTGTATATTACATCTCCACTGAAAAAAACACCCAACCAGACATAATCGAGGAGAAAAATTGTTAGCTACTTTTTTTTTTCTCCACATGCTTGTACTACAACATAAAACTGGAGAATGGATGCTAACCACAACAGTTAAAGTAATGAAGTTACTAAAAATGTCAGAAAATGAGCCCTATATCATTCAGCAGATTAACCAATTTAAATGGTAACAAACACGATTTGCACACCAGTTAAACTTGGAATTAAATTAAAGCTAGTGCCCTGCTTTGATAATATGAAACTACTGAAAATGCATGAATTTCACTTTCTTTTGCCTGTAAAAAGACAAAAAGGCACCTAAAGCAGTTTCAGGAATTTTCGACAAAACAACTTATGCATGTGTATGAATTTAATCCTGAATAATTACACAACACAACATTCCTGTCTATAACTTTGTTTGTTCAAACATTCAGCTCTTAATTTTGACACAACATGCTTCCTTTCCCTTATGTCTATGTGTATGTACAGCTACGGTGGGCACAGTCCCACATATGTAATCTTACGTTGGTGTTCCCGATGACGAAGCCTCCATGGGTTTATCAAGGTAGTTGCCATCTTTGAAGTACATGCTGAAGTCAATGACCGATGGTGCGGAGTCGAGGTCGTCCCCCTTGAGACAGAAGTTACAATCGATGGCGTTGAGACCGACGAGGAGGCCGGCGATCACCATGGATTCTTCTTCCATCACCAAGGCTGTTGGCTCATACCATTCACTAAAGGATTGAAGAGAAGATTTTGTTCATATCATTTGAACTTAAATTTGAATTTGAATGGAATAACAACAACACATCACAATAATGACAGTACATTTCATTATGAACAATCATACAATGCAAAGAATTATACTGATACATGTATACATAACATAAGAGTAATGTTGATTGAACAGTAATGGTTTTAAAATGATATTTAGACACAGCTCTGCATACTATTAAACATACAAAGGATAGACACATAAATATGTGTATTACTAATAATTAGGTGAAGTTGTTAATGGTAATTAGAAGTTAGCAAAAGTGCTAGTCAAGCCTAAAGATAAAATAGAAGACTTTGTTCAACTTCATACCACTTAATAAAGATTAAATAGACAGTTTTGTTTGTGTCATTCGCTAAAGATTAAACTGAGGATTTTGTTTCATACAACTCAATAAAGATTAAATGAATATTTGTTTATGCCATTGTCTAACAGAAGATTTGTATACTTTGACAAAATATCCATTCAAAAGGTTTGAAATATCAAATTGAGCAGACACAAATCACAAATAATCTGACAGAATCCTATGGCATTTGACTACATTTCCAATTAAGCATTTCTAACCAACAATTATTAATTTCACTGTGTGCAGTACTCACCTTAGCAAATGTTTGGATTCAATGATTGCCTTAAAATAATCAGCTAATTTCTTCTGCATCATGGCTAGTCTTAGCCAGGCCCTTCCTCTCCCTATACTGGTTCTAGATAATAAAAACACAAACAAAAAGTAATAATTATAATGATAATAACAAACAATGTTTTAGAATTGTATTTCCCATGGCAATTAGTACACTTACAGTTTCTGTCATATATGATAAAAGGTAGGAGTAATATAAGAACTTTTTTCAAACATTTGATTGTACTCTATCATTGTGAACATACATGGATTGAAAAAGAGACAAACTTGGAGACATATACATGTACATGTACGTTAGCAAGCAAGATATGTTGAAATTTTACCATATTTTGTATGCAATTAATTAGAATGTATCGACCTAAACTGAATATTCTACTTTTATTAACTAAACGTTGTTGCTTAAAAGTTAACTACTGAATAAATTTAATGTGAGCAGATATTTCACTGTCTCTCTTTATCCTCTTTGAAATGGGTTGACTCCAGAAAAGAAAAGTCAAGGCTACTCATGTTCTCGAAAGTAATTAAAGAGTAATTTCCCCATTAATTATCGTCAAAACAATCTTGATAGGTTTTTGATGAGCATCCTAACTTGGTTTCATATCAATACTGAGACGGTTATTGGTGAAGCTTTAATGATGCGCGACACACTAAAGCACACTTTCAATTACAGACTGATCAAACTTTAATGACTATTAGCGTAATTAGATGGAAGAAATAAACCCTCTTCTGAGGCACCTTAAAGGCATCGTTTAACAATGTTAAATCTGAGATACATGGCCCTACTTTTTATCAGTGTCTTTGATATGGTGTAATATTGAAACCCCTACAAAAATTGCGCTTCAAAATGATCAAGAAGTGCCTCAAAAAAAAAAAAATCTTTGAGTGACCGGTTTTACCATACTCTTTTCCCCCAATAGGCTGTAGTGTTATGAAAACCATTAGGAAAACGCAAAATTTGATTTCGATTTCCAATCATAAATATCTTGATAATCAGACAAGCGATCGGTTTGTAAAAGTCATGGGATTCCTGACTGACCTAAAGGTTTATAATTATGATTGCAGCATGAGCTAAATCCAGGATTTTGTTTCAGAATCTGAGGCAATGTTACTGAGTCACTTTAAAGCCTGTTCACATGCAACAGAGGAACCCCCCTAAAAAAAAATATTAAAAAAAACACTGCAGCAAAATAAATAGATTGATGACTTTCACATCCTACCAGGTACCCATTTAACACCAGGGTGGAGAGTGGCAAATGTGGATTCATGTCTTGTCAAAGGATAGTGCTGGGCTGGGATTTGACCCTTCAACCCAAGGATTGAGAGGCAAGTGAAGGAATCACTATACCACGACACCTCCACTTGCCTCTCATATCCATGTAATATATTTTGTTTGGCAGCAGAGGTGTTTGTGAGGTGGTTTATAGCGCCAAATGTGAACGAGGCTTTTATGGGCCTCTATGAGGTACAAATGTACATACATGTTATTAGAAGCAAAGTTACTCGATTGATCTACAAGTATCATTCAGTATGAGAGGAGTACTGATAAAGATTTCAATGAAAATGATATTGGCCAGGAATTTCAAAGAAGAAAGAGCAAGTTTCACAGCGAAGACAATAAATGTAGCATCTGACATTGTAATCACTGTAATAAATCAACATGCATTACAACTTTGAATGTTACTACTACACTATAATCAGAATTCTCATCATGTAAATATGTATTCTTCTGAAAGAAATATACTACAAGAAATTTGGCAAGACATTAGTCTACATTTGCGACACTCGACAAAGGTGAAGAAAGTGGGTACCTGGTAGGATTCATTCCTTGAATGCACTGAGTGCTATGATTGGTGGATCTAAAGCCAAGGTAATAATATTCAAAGTCCTTTGGAAGCGCATAGAGACGTTATATTATAATGGGATACGCCCTATACAAGAACGGCATATTATTTTCTATTATTGTTGAAGAGACTTACTTGATGCCAGGAAGGTTTCTCACACTGTCAATGATTTCCGCAAAGTCCGGTAGGGACTTCTCTAGTGACTCCACAGCACCCCAGAATGAACGCTTCTTCTCAAGGAATGTCTTCTTTCCTACATTCATTCATAATTAAAACACAAAAAACATCTCTGAAAATTACAGACATCAGTGAAGGCCTACATGCATTGAAGCATTTAGCTACTGTAATTCTCTGAGAAGTGCGGTAATGGTTACTCCAAAGACACCACAGCGCCCCAGAATGAACGCTTCTTCTCCAGGAATGTCTTCTTACCTAAAAACAATCGTAATTACAACACAGAAAACATCTCTGAAGATGAAAGACATCAGTGAAGGCCTACATGCATTGAAGCATTAGCTAATTCTCTGAGGAGTGCAGTAATGGATTCTCTAACAACTCCAGAGAGCCCCAAAATTAATGCTTCTTCTTCAGGAATGTCTTCTTACCTACAAACAATCATAATTACAACACAGAAAAAACATCTCTGAAGATGAAAGACATCAGTGAAGGCCTACATGCATTGAAGCATTTAGCTAATTCTCTGAGAAGTGCGGTAATGACTTCTCCAAAGACTCCACAGCGCCCCAGAATGAACGCTTCTTCTCCAGGAATGTCTTCTTACCTAGTCCTACAAAAGATTGTAATTACAACACAGAAAACATCTATGAGAGTTAAAAACATCAGTGTAAAAGCGTTGAAGCATTGGTTAATTCTATTAAAAAAATGTTAGCATATAAGAAACATCTTAACTGAGCTGTGAGTGACTTGTGATGAAGGTCACGTTCCTGTTGAAAGTTGAAACCACACAAAAAATAATTTAAAGGAGAAGATACAATTATTATGTTCATCATTCATACCAACACTGACCCATTTATTTGGGGAACCGTTCTTAGATAACTCTCATGTTATGTTCCATGACAAAACGAAAAGTGTATTTACAAAATGGATAAAAATACTGGTACAATGAAACTGTTTCATTGAAAATTAGTTACATAAACTGATGTTTGATTTGCAAATAATAAGTCAAGACTAAGGTATGTAATACATTTCAGCCAACAATTTTCTGACGTATCCTTGCTTCTTTCCGAGGAGCAACATTTGATCTGGTATTGGTAGTGCGCATTCTCAGTCGGATACATGTACACTGCATATGTTGCTAGGAATCTGTCTCTCTATAAAGAATGTTCAATTCAAATGTATTTAATTACGTAAGTGAATTCTGAAGAAAAAAAAGAGAAAGATACTCATATGTGTCATCTATACTGACCTTTGACCCCATGGTTCATGACATGCTCCAGGACAACAAAGAACTGTTGGAGAGGAACGTACTCATCGTCCAGTATCCTGGCCTCTTCCATGGCTGACTCTATCAGGGTTTTGATGCAGAGCTTAGCCACATTGAGGAGGTTGGCGCGCTCTACCAGAACAGGGTTCTTGATGACACTGTCAT